TCTGGGTCTGGCCTGCGGTGGGCCCTGGGCTCCTGTCTTCCCTCTCTGAACTTTCACTGTCTCATCTGTCAGATGGGTTACTAAGCCTCCGTCACGGAAACTCCCCGTGGCCTTCGCTGGCTGCGAGGCTCTATAGACTTGAGGGCCGCTGACTGCCCCAGGAGGAGCGGTGGGGGTGTTCAGTCCTGTGTTTGTCCGCCTCCAGCCTCCTCCTCGGGCTTCTCCCACCACCTCCAGCACGTGGCCCGCTGGCAGGGCCTGAGGAGGGCCTCACACCGAGGCCACGGCGGGAGGGGCCACGGCGGGCACCGCAGGCAGGCAGGCCAGCAGCGTCTCTGACCACAGGTCTGCGGGGCCTGATGATCGCAGTGATGATGGCCGCGCTCATGTCGTCGCTGACCTCCATCTTCAACAGCAGCAGCACGCTCTTCACCATGGACATCTGGAGGCGGCTGCGGCCGCGGGCTGGCGAGCGGGAGCTGCTGCTGGTGGGACGGTACGGCGGTGCTGGCACCGGCGGGCGGAGAAGTGGGCTGCCCCAGCCAGCGCCCAGCCCGTGAGGCCGGCCAGAGTGGGCTTTACGGGATGAATAGGAGCTTGTCCGTGGGAAAAAGGAGGCTGCCAGGAAGGAGAGAAGAGGCCAGGAAATCCTGTCCACCGCACCCCCCACTGTCTCCTGCCCCTTCACAGCCCCAGCCTCCTCCGGGGTCCACCCCTGCCCTTGGCTACATCTCTGAGGGGCACCCTCCCCCAGTCGGCCCAGAGATCCTTCCATCGCCCCAAATCTGAGCCTCTAGCCTGCTGCTGACCCCACTGCTCCAAAGAGAGCCCCAGCCGGGCTCAGGAACGACCACGCTCAGGCCGCAGCTGCCCCTCCGCCCCTGTGCCCCGGCCCCACCGCACTCTGCCCCTTCCTCCAAGCCTGCTGTCCATTACCGCAGTGACTCACCCCAAGAGTCCCCTCCTCAGCCCTCCCTGATACCCTGACCAGGAACGAGCCCCTCTCCCCTCAACGCCTCCCACAGGGACCTGCCAGGCTCTGTCACAGCCCATCTGTCACACCCCCACCCCGAGGCGGGCAGGGCTGTTCCCGGGTGAAGTCAGCCGAGCATGAGCACTTGGCCTCCGGGTGCGCGTGTCCGACTGTTTCGCCCTCTCCCAGGCCCCTCCTCTCTCCCACTGAGCCACACGGCTCCTGCCTGCTGGGGGAGGGCCCAGCCTTCCGGTGCTTAGCGTGGCCGACCCTGCAGCCTCTGCCGTGGCGCCCATCGGCAGGGTGGGGCCCCCAGGGCTGCAGGCAGCGGCCCGGTGATGCCAAGCAGCCGGCTCCTGTGGGAAGGGCCCTGCTGGGACACGCCGGGCAGCAGGCAGGCGTGAGCTCACCTGCAGGCACAGAGCCTCCAAACAAGGAGCCTCGCCCTCCTGCTCCAGATGCTGCTGTCAGCGCTCCTGCCCTCCACCCTCTCCCCTCGCCCCTCCCTGCCCTCCTCGGGCCGGGCTGTGGCCGGTCGCGCCCTCTCCGGGTCTCAGCTCTCTCAGCGGCCAGTTTGGTGGCCTGGAAAGGCCCAGGGCCAGGCTCAGCTCTGCCCACACCTCCGGCCTCCTCTTGCCTCAAGCAACACATTCAAGCTGTGCCCTACCTTGTGGGGTCTGGGATCTGCGGCGCCTCAATTCCAGGAGGAATGGGAATTCTACAGGGAAGGCCCGCACTCAGGCCGAGCTGTCCCTCCGGCCCCTGAGCACTCCCAGGAGCCTGGGGAGGAGGCCCCGCGGGCGGGGCGGCAGGGAGGTGTCCCAGGCCAGGGGCTGTGACAGCTCTCCCTCTGGGACCCCGACCTTCGCCAGCCCCAGGCCCAGGCCCACTCCCCAGCCTTCGCTCCTGTGTTTCCCTCCCCCGCTCTCCCTTGTCTTCCCTTCTCTGTTGATTGCAGATGGTGCAGAAGCCTCTCTTGTATGCTGCCTGGATCTGGGCAGTCTAGGGATCCTGGGAGATGCAGAGCTCCCGCTCCCCCCCAGACCTGAGGGGCTCCCCTAAACTACGCTGCAGCCCAGGCGCACGCAGGGGGTCATCTTGTCAGCAGTGTGTGGGGGGGTGGGGGGAGGCTTCCTGGAGGAGGAACGCCTTGAGCTGGGCCTTGGAAGATGGGGTATTCCAGGCAGAAGGAAAGACTCTGGCCTTGGGGTCCCCCTGGCAGCTGGGTGGCGGCTGAATCAGAAGAAACCCTAGCCCTGGCCAGTGTGGCTCAGCTGGTTGAGCGTCATCCTATGCGCCTAAAGGGGGGGGGGGATGCTCCCCACACACACACTGCTGACAGGATGACTGCCCCTGCGTGCGCCTGGGCTGCAGCGTAGTTTAGGGGAGCCCCTCAGGTCTGGGGGGGAGCGGGAGCTCTGCATCTCCCAGGATCCCTAGACTGCCCAGATCCAGGCAGCGTACAAGGGAGGCCTTGGCACTATCTGCAAATAACGGAGAAGGGAAGACAAGGGGCAGCAGGGCGCACACCCAGGCTGTGCTCAATCCCCAATGTCTGTCTGTCTGTCTGTCTGTCTCCCTTCCTCTCAATAAAAAACAGTAATAATAATAATAATAAGAAACCCCAGAGGCAGCAAGAAGGCAGGGCCGCTCCAGGCTGAGCTGGGCAGGTGCTGAGGCTGCTG